AGGATCGTCACCGCTACTACAAAAAAAACTTCTAAAAAAAAAAAAAAAAGAAAAAAGAAAAAAAAGAATTGTGTTCCATCAGCCATCTGGTTTCTGGGCTGGCAGACTGGACCTGCTTGCCCACTTGGCCACAGTCAGCTAGTGTGTGGGAGCCCCGCCGGACAGGGGGGTGGGGCTTTCCGGTCTGTCACGTGCCCCCTGTCCCAGCCCTCCTCACTCCTGGGTGTTCTGCCTGGCTCCCGTGGGCACACGGTGTCCTTCTCCTGGTCTAGATAAGCCCAGTATCCTCCATTGCCTGACAGACAAACTGACAGACACACCTGTGCCAACCCAGGAGATTACTTTTTGCTTTCCAAAGTTTCATTTCTCAACAAGCATAAACTTCAAATGCTTTTTTGTCTCCACACGTGATAGAATTACGGTGAGAGCCCTCCTCTATTGGGCATCCATTATGTCCATGCATTCAATCGACTGTTATTTGGGGCGTTCTTACTCAATACCAGGCACCACCCATGGGCAGGGGTATAGTGAACAGACCAAGCCCTGCCTCGTGGGGCCAACGTCCTCATGTGGAGAAAGATGGCAAGCCAATAAACTATGTGTCCTCTCTTTGTACGTAAGTTGTTTCAGCTTATTGCGATCGCCCTGCACACTGGGCACAATGCCCACAATGGTTAAGGAAATGGAGCCGTGAGATGGGAAGGGTCCAGAGTGCCATTAATGAGCAGCGTGCCAGGATTTGAACACAGTGTCGGCCTCTGATGTGTGGATTCTTTCCTCTCTGCACTGCTGCCTCCCCTTGGTGTAGTAAGACAGGGATGGGTTGCCCATTTTACAGATTCCGGGTAAACTGAGGCCTAGAGGAGGGAAGTAATCCATCTCAGTTTATACGCTAAGTCAGACCAGGTTGGAGCCTGGGTCACTCCTGGAACTGACAGTTATTTCTAGAGCCCTCATCCTATGGCTGGCAATGTAGGTTGAGATGGAGGCAGGATAAGACCCTCCAAGGATGTACAGTCCAATGAGAGAAACCAGAGACCGGCCATGCAATGGTTTGGGCCATTAACCCCATGGTCCCTCCTCAGGCCACACTGCCTTCCCCGCATGCTTGGGGAAGCCATTGCTCCTGAGAAGCTCCCATGGGTCTTGGGAGAGAGGAGACCCCTTTTGAGCAAAGGGCACCAGAAAGTTCTCATCTCTTAGCTCAGGCCTGCCAAGCCCCAGCCCGTCAGCCCTGCTGGGGTTCACACCATCTTACCTGGGGTAAGGGAGGGCAGCCGAGGTGGGTCCATGGTCCCACTCTGAGGACACCTACATTTCCACCTGTGTCCTTGTCCTAACTTGTTCCTCTGCTTGGTATTCCTAGTCCCGGAGACCAGCTGGTTCTGAGCAATGACAGATGTGTCCACATGCAGTGGGAGGCTCCAGGTTACCGACAGATTCCTCACCCATGCTTTCACTTGAACCTCTCAAAGTGGGCACCCTTCTTCCCACTTACAGATCAGGAGCCAAGGTACAAAATGGTTAAGTGACTCGCTGAAGGCCACACTGCTAAGAACTGGGCCCAGATCTTGTGCCTCCAAACCCTCCCTTCTTCCTACTCTACAATGTCTCAGCCCCACCCCCCCCAACCCCTACCTGAGCCTTTTCTTGCTCTTGCCCATAAACCAGTTCCTAAACAGGCCCTCGGGCCTCTCTCCTTTGTTGCCACTCTTCCTGGGGATCTGGGCTTGTTGAAACAACCACTAGGTGGGTACTCTGACCCAGTATTCTTCCTCTTAAACGTACAGCCATATTTGCAATTTTTCTGTCTTCATATATGTTATTTAGTTTGTTGAATCGCTTTTGAGAACTTTGCAGATAGCAAGACACTTAACAAGAAACTTCTCCAACAGAACCACCAGGCCATCAACACGTTGAAGAGATTAAACATTGACACAATGTCATTTGCTACACAATTGATATTTGAACTTCTCAATTGTTTCTCAAAATGTCTTTTAAAATTTTTGTCTTTGTTTTATGAGAGAGCTGGGAAAAGGGCTTTACCACAACAGAATCTCCCAGCCCTGTAGTCGGCCAAGGTCACAGGAGCACCTGCAGGTGTGCCTGGCACATTCAGTTGACCAGAGACCCAGATTCCCCATATGGCTCCAGTGTCTCACAGTGGCACCCTACTTGTCTGCATCACTGCACCTAGGTCTCAAACTGTCCTTTTTAAACATTTTTTTCTGGACACAGAATCCACTCAAGAATCAGCCATAGCCCTTCATTGTCATGTCTCTTCAGCCCTCTGTAGTCTGGAACAGCCTCCCTGCCTCCCATGCTTTCATGACATTGATAGTCTGAAGTGTTCCGGCCACATGTCTTGCTGAATATCTCTCCACTGAGATTCATCTGATGGTTTCCTTACGATGGGACTCAGGTTACACATTTTGGCCAGAAACTGCATATGTAATGTGTCCTCTGTGCATGCAGTCAGGGGCCACAGGATGTTGGCTTGTCCCATGACTGGTGATGTTCAGTTTCATCACTTGCTTAAGGTGTTTTCCACTAGATCTCTCCAATGTAAAGTCACCTTTGTCCCCTTTGGCTTCGTGACTCATCTGCAGGGCAATGCTTCGAGACTGTGGGAACATCCTGTGGCCTAGTGCAATTACTTTTCCAGTAGTTTCAGCATCCATTGGCAAT